TTTTTTTTTACGATTAAAATATATATATAAAGTTTATTTCAACGTCAAAAAAAATTAAAATTTTTAATATTTTTAGAAGTAAAACATAAACCTTTTTATTGAAAGACATCTTAAGAAAATCTTAACCCCATGAGCGAAGAGATAAAGGAAGATAAATGAGAAGATGGAATGACACTGTAACAGATCCTAAAAGTTATTAAAATGATGATGGTGATGATGATAAACCTATTGAGATGATAGAGTGACATGTTAAGATACCATAGGTCTTAATACATTTTAGAATAATGATGATAAACCTCCTGTGAAGATGAGATGAGACAATGCCAACTAGTTAAGATGATGATGATGATAAACCTTACTTAATTAAAGTTAAGTTTTATTAGTGCAATTTGAAAGAAAAATACATACTTTATCATTCAACATTTTTTTTTATACTGTTGATGATAATTTTGAAAGACGATACCGAAGAACTGTTGTAAATGATGTTATAGAAAAGGAAACTTTTGATTTTCTGATACAAATTGCTATCTTATTCACTAATACAGCTATTAAAGAATATTCTTAAAGTAATTCTTAAACTGTTATTAATTAAGGTAGAGCTTAAGAATTGATTTAACAATATTTAAATGTACTTTATTCTTCTTAAAAAATTATTTTATCTTATAAATACAACTTATAATGAAATACGAATATTTGTTTTCTCGTACCTCATAACATTTTCTTCAATAAATTTCCTTTATATCTGTTAAATCTTTCATAAAAATTTTATGTAAACTTTTAAACTAATAAAATAGCCAAAATTTTTTCATTTATATTGAAGTATGTAGTTTAACAAGATACCCTGTGTTTAGTTTTGATTTTTTTCTCTTCAAATATTTTTAAAACAAAAACTGTTTTTATCAGTCCATGTTGCTTTAGAAACACAAAACAAGCCTAATTAATGAGTTAGAGATGTTCTGTTGAGTTATTACTAGATGGTCTCTGTTAATCTAGCAAAACAGATAATTAAGCAAGACCCTAAATGTCCTAGAACTAAATGTCCCAGAAAAATCAATGATTACTTGTATTAAAACATCCAGCAATGAGTTACTTAACTTTCCTAGAAACATTGAAATCTGTGTGTGGGGCACCATCTGTTATGATATTTTATTTAAAAACTTTTTATATTTTTAATTATTATAAAATGGCAAAAAGCTTAATTTTCAGGGTAGGGATGGGTTTTATAAAAAAATTGTAGATGCTAATAATAAGTAAAATCTTTATTAAGTCCAATCCCACTAGGGATATGATGACCCCCATCTCCTTGGTCTATAATCATCAAAATTTAATAGCATCAATCCCTCTAATACAGAAACCTTCCTGCAAAATTTCAGAAATTTTTGATGAAAAGCATAGGAATTATTAAGCTTCAAATAAAGATAACAAAATTGTGCCCCCAACACATACACACACACACACATTCAAAAATACAAAAAACCCCTCCCACCTTTTTTGAATTTCTCAACATTTCAAGGTTCCAAGTCCAAACTGTAAAAATCTGGAATCATTTATTCACTAATTGCCATACTTTCCCTATGTTATATATAACAGAACCAGGAAAGTATTAACTTATTACATTTAACAAATCTTACATTTTATATGACTCACAATATAACAATGTATTAATACAAGATAACATGTCATAATCTGAAAAATAATGAAAACATCAACCTTACTTTTAAATTTAATTCTACAGAATTGAACTATAACAATTTTTAAAGTTATTCACATTTTTTTAATTTTTATTTCTTCTCTTCAGTTCTTATTTTACACATACAGATAGTATGAACAATTATCTTAAAATATAACTTTATCTAAACATTATTTACATCAAGCATTTGTATGTAATATTTGTATGTACAGATTTTAGTATTTAATTAATGAAATTTTCTTAACTAGAATGTTTAAGTTATAAAAAAAATGTTAATATATAGACTAGNGATGGTCTCTGTTAATCTAGCAAAACAGATAATTAAGCAAGACCCTAAATGTCCTAGAACTAAATGTCCCAGAAAAATCAATGATTACTTGTATTAAAACATCCAGCAATGAGTTACTTAACTTTCCTAGAAACATTGAAATCTGTGTGTGGGGCACCATCTGTTATGATATTTTATTTAAAAACTTTTTATATTTTTAATTATTATAAAATGGCAAAAAGCTTAATTTTCAGGGTAGGGATGGGTTTTATAAAAAAATTGTAGATGCTAATAATAAGTAAAATCTTTATTAAGTCCAATCCCACTAGGGATATGATGACCCCCATCTCCTTGGTCTATAATCATCAAAATTTAATAGCATCAATCCCTCTAATACAGAAACCTTCCTGCAAAATTTCAGAAATTTTTGATGAAAAGCACAGGAATTATTAAGCTTCAAATAAAGATAACAAAATTGTGCCCCCAACACATACACACACACACACATTCAAAAATACAAAAAACCCCTCCCACCTTTTTTGAATTTCTCAACATTTCAAGGTTCCAAGTCCAAACTGTAAAAATCTGGAATCATTTATTCACTAATTGCCATACTTTCCCTATGTTATATATAACAGAACCAGGAAAGTATTAACTTATTACATTTAACAAATCTTACATTTTATATGACTCACAATATAACAATGTATTAATACAAGATAACATGTCATAATCTGAAAAATAATGAAAACATCAACCTTACTTTTAAATTTAATTCTACAGAATTGAACTATAACAATTTTTAAAGTTATTCACATTTTTTTAATTTTTATTTCTTCTCTTCAGTTCTTATTTTACACATACAGATAGTATGAACAATTATCTTAAAATATAACTTTATCTAAACATTATTTACATCAAGCATTTGTATGTAATATTTGTATGTACAGATTTTAGTATTTAATTAATGAAATTTTCTTAACTAGAATGTTTAAGTTATAAAAAAAATGTTAATATATAGACTAGATGAATGTAACAAATATTAGATAATATATAGAAGAAATTTCACAATACCTGATAATTAGCTAATGATGCTGCTGGATTTTGTAATTGCTATAAATAAATAAATAAATATTTTTAATAAACAAGTAAGTTTGTAAAATTATAAAAAGAAAAACAATTATATTTACCTCAAGTATATTTTGATTGAAATAATTGTGTGTTTCCCACAGCTTCAACAACTGATGATAAAGAATATTTTATTATGTAATCATTTATTTAAATATCATTTTAAAAAGCTACTTAAAATTATTTACTTTTGTTAACTTAAGTCTTTTCTCTTCATCTATGCCCATGCTTGTTGTACAAAATATAGGAACAACAATTGTTTCTAGGGCTTTCTTCAAATCTTCTGCTCCCTTTCTAGTGCTAATAAATATAAAAATATATATTAACAATAAAAAAATAAAATTTTTAATCATTTGTATTAGAATAATTTGAAAATAGAATTCTATAATAAAAATTCTAAAATTGACTACAGATATATAAACAAGAAAATAATTTAATATTTAGTTCACATAACTATAACTATAGAAAAAATATTTTCAATTTAAATCAATTAAACACCCTTTTTTTAAATTATGCATCCAAGCATTGTTAAATTTCTTCCAGGCTATTTAGATTATAAATTACATAGACATAATTAAGAAAAATGCAGTATATTTACAGAAAAATATAGATTACAAATAAATATACTGTACTTTGAATTTTCATCTAGAAACAGAAGCAGTAGTCATTTCACATTAATTTTAATATTAATGTTAGAAATCTCTTGAAGAATATTATTACAAACTAGACAGATATAGTACACTGTTTTCTATCGTGGCATAGCATGTGACAAGTTGAAGTATAAGAAGCACATTATCCCAAAATCAATTATCAAATTTACAATAATGATGCATAAGAAGAGAAATTAATGACACTATACTGACACAAGTAAAAAAAAAAATCCAGATAATTTTATATTAAACTTAAACATTTCTATTGATACTGTGAAATTATATACATAGGTATGATACATATGGTTAAAGTTTTTTAAATTTAGATTGAGAAGTAATTCTATTATTCAGAAAACACTTGTAGAAAAATTGAAAACAAATATACCAATCACACTATACCTTACAACTTTTCCAGCACTAGTTTAATCAAAACAAATGTTTTCAAACCCGTTCAGAGGTCTGCCTCAGGTTAAAAATGTATTAAAATACAAATAAATAAATAAATAAAACACTTCAAAAAAGTTAAAGAGCTCTTTTCTTTAATTTGTATTTTAATACGTTTTTAACCTAAGGCAGACTTCTGAACAGGGTTGAAAACATTTATTTTGATTAAACTAGTGCTGGAAAAGTGCATAAGGCATAGTGTGATTGGTTAATTCTATTAATATTCTGTTATATACTATTAAATAATTCACAAAGAGGTAATTACATAATAAAACTCTGTTATTTGTATATATAAAACATTTATTATTATTATTGTGTTGGGTTCAGTGGGTAATACTCGGTTAAACCGGTGGCTGTGTACTATGCCGGACCAGAGTCAAGGCATAGCAACCAAAACAAAACTAAAATTAAATAAGTGTGTCAGTGTCAGTGTCAGTATTCAGGAATTTCCTAACAATGTGGCATGTATTCAATATAGTGGCCTTCTGTAGTGTGATGTATGTATTTCTATTCAATTGTAATGTTCCCAGGCTTTTGTGTAGTGTGTGTGGTATCACACCTGTACAGGAGAGAACGACAGGTACAATAAGCACCCTATCCATCCTCCACAGATGCCTGATTTCCTGGGCGAGTTCTGTGTACTTGCTAATTTTTTCAGTGCATGTATTTTGTATATTGTGAGTATTTGGAACGGCTATGTCAATAATGTATGTGATTTTATTGTGTTTGTCAATGAGTGTGATGTCTGGTCTGTTGTGGTAAATTGTTTTATCTGTGATGTCAATGAGTGTGATGTCTGGTCTGTTGTGGTAAATTGTTTTATCTGTGTTTTATTTATTATTATTATTATTATTATTATTATTATTTTTAGTTCTTCATTAAAATTATTAATAAAAAATAATATAACAACAATTTTATATTTCTAAATTTTTGAGAAAAACAGTAAGCTAAATACTAGCTTAATAGTAAGCTAAAATAAAATTATTTGTATCATTAATTAATTATAACAAAATTTATTACCAATGATGAAGAACATCATTAATAAGATAAATTAAATGAAGTTTAAATTCAAATGAAGCTCCTGGGGTTATTATCCTGCAAAATATGTTTAAAAATTAGATCAATACAAAAATCAATAATAAGAGAATAACTCTTATAAGTTCATTACATCTATAATTGTTACTAAAAAGTTAAAAATTAACCACTGACATCCTCTATGAAAGCCACATTTTTAAAATTCTAAATATTTGTAAAATAATTACAATCTCTATTTTATGAAATATGTTATAATGAGATGACATGTAAAGAATTTGATATAAAAATATGCAAATGCTGCTCCTAATTTCTTTATTTGAAATTACTTTAAAATTAGTTCTCAATGATAAGAAAAAAATATCAAATATGATGAATTTGTCAAACTTTTTTTTAAGTTGAAAATTCAGACAACTCTGATTGAAATTTTTTTATATTTGCATAATGATAAATGAAATTTGTTCAATTACAATTATTCTTCTACATGTTGTATATTTTATGAATTATTTTATTGTTCTCATGATTTCAATTTATGAAGACAATTATGTCATATCTAATTCACTATATTTATATATCTAAGTTCTAATAAATGTAAAATGCTTCAATAAAAAAAAAATAATAATAACTGAAGAAAACTATTTATATTATACATATTCTTGTTATTTTTAATTTTGCATCTCATTTTTGAGTGGGACCATTCAGAGTTTAAAAGTTAACTAGAATAAACATTCTTTTATCTTTAAAGTTATAGTAGAGCATCGTTTATCTGAATCAATTGGGGACTGGAGTTGTTCAGATAACTTATTTTTCAGATAACCGATTATGTACGAAAAAATATATTAACCTATCCCATGTTGAAATTTTTCTCTGTTGCGTGTCACTTTGCGTTGAATTTTCGTTGATGTTAAGCCTAATGTAAACTTTTTAAAATAATAATCGTGGCTATTGTATCGTTAAAAATTATTTCTTTATTTTTTACAAACAAAATAAATATATTGAAATATATAAAAACCAAAAAAATATACTTTAGAAGTTGATCTAGTATCAAAAATGTTCGATTCAGCATGACACAGTCCTCAGAAAAACACCACACAAAAGTGCCAGTGCAGCTAGCTAAAACACACACACCAACAAAAAAAAAATATTGGAGTAGCCCAAGATATAGCCAAAGATTGCAGTGCCACAGCACTAGCGAAAATTTAAATTTGCTGACTGGAATGCTTTCGGATAACTGGCTTTTGGATAAACGACACTCTACTGTATTTAAAACTTAATTAAAAAAAAAAAACTTAATAAAAGAAAAAAACAAAAGCTTGTCAGCTCTACAAAAGAAAAAGTAGAACAATTTTTGAGAACATTATACAAATCTTAAAGTTTACACAATCTTAGAATAATGGAAAAATTATTATAATAATAAAATAAATAGCACTATTAAGTTGACAAGTGTACTCTTACAGATTAATGTATAGTGCCAATATTTATATGTTGTTAGTATAAAATATACCATATTTACTCGTGTATAAGACAATCTCGTATATAGGATGAGGTGTGACTTTCAAGATCAAAATAAAGAAAATTAGACATATTAATACAATTCTAATTTTATTTCGTTTAATCAGAAATAAAATATCAAATGCATGTAAATGCACATATTGTCCCATAAAAATTACTGGCATTTTAAACTTTAAGGAAAAATCTTATAAAATCGATTGCATAATTTGTTCATGTAAAGATGGACCATTGGAACCTTTTTAGCCAATTCTTAACAGTCGAATCCATTCTCCATCAATTACACTTACGAGTTCCTTCCAATTCTGATTTACGAATAATCATCTGTTTTCACATGGGGATGGATTAAAAGTTATATTGGGTTACCATGTGATCTTGGAATTTAAATTTGGAATTCAATTCAAAAGCTTTGTTTTTCCTAATGCTATTCATCTTTATTCCTGACAATACACAAGAACAATTCAAATGATCCAGATAAAATACTTTTGATTTTAAATTAAATACCATAGGGTGAGCATGTTTGTGAACCATGTATGTAAATACATGGTTCACAAAAATTATTGCAAAAATGCAAAGAATCATTCGCTCGTGCGTATAGGACGATGTAAGTTTTTAAAGCAGTGAAAAATGAATAAAAACCTCTTCTTATATGCGAGTAAATATGGTATTCATTATGACAATATAGAGTGAATACTGTCATGTCAGAATAAACAAACAAAACAGTTTTTATAAAAATTTATGAATCTTATTAGAAACAATATATACACTGAAAAATTTTTTTAAATATATCTTAAAAATTACAATTTGAACAAATTTTTTAATACTTCACATTCTATCATTTTTCAGTAAAGAAAGTTATTGTAAAAATAATTATCAAAAAAGTTTTAAATAAGAAATAAATCTTAAAAAACAAAGTATTGATTGTAATAAACCATCCATACACCTTTCTTGCTGAGATATGTTTAATCAAAATGCTATATTATATCAAATTTATTGATATCAACCTAATACAATAGGCCATCTTCAGTTGTAACCAAAATTTGAACATATTTTGTATTGATTGTAGATTATTTTGTTTGTTAGTTGTAATTGACAACATATAAATATTGGCACTATATATTAATCCATAAGAGTATACTTTTCAACTTAATAGTGTTATTTATTATTATTATTATAATTTTTCTAAATAAAAAAAAGGATGATTTATTTATTGTTTAAGAAATATGTAGGGCAAATTTTGTAAATATGTATACACAGTAATTTTCTGAAACTATATATATTTTTAATAGAAATATGTTTTATTATGAAGAAAATAGCATATTTGTTAATTTGAAGTTTTTCTTACAAAATACAAAAAAAAAAAAAATAGTGAACATACCTTTTTAGAAGATACTGTGCAATTACATCATTATGCTTATAAGATGATGAATGATTGAAAATCCATCCTTTTCCAGCCTAAAAAGCATATTTACTCTTATATAATATCATTCCTACTTAACTGATAAAATGTATAATAAAATAAAAATTTATAATTCATATAAAAATATAAGATAGTTAATACAAAAAATAATAAAAGCAGTTGTAATCAATCAAACAGAAAATCAAATAAAATCAACAAAATGATATTTAATTGAAAAAATTATTTCATTATTATTCAAATCATTTAAACTAGTATATATTTTAATAAAAATATTCATTTCACATCAAGTAAAATTCTAAGACAAGGACATTCAGCTATAAAATTTAATTTTGATATTTTAAATAATGTTATTTTTAATACATTAGGGCCTCTGCTTTATGAGTGTCTGCTTTACAATTATTTGCTTTTATAATTAGTATACATTTACTCTTATTTTAATATCATACTTTTTGTTCATCATCTATGTGTGGTATTATATAGTTAAAACATTTCCAGAAATTGTTTCATTTTTTTTTTATTTTGATGACATGACTCAATTTATAGGATGTAGAATGGTTTAATTTATAAAAGCTCACTGAACAATACAGAAACAAATTATGGCATTTTGTAACTCCAATAAGCAGAAAAATAAAACTCATTATTTAGGGAGTGTTAATGATAATAAAATAAATCAATTAGAAAAAATGGAGATTGTTTATATACTGATAACTACAATAATTATGAAATAATGCTTCAATAAATAGTACAGATACAGGCAATCCTGATTTTTAAATGTAATTCAGTCTTAAAAATATGCACAAAACACAAACAATACACTTCCAACATTATAAAGAGTGCCAAGTTCCCAGAAGACTAAAAAGAAAAATTATAAAATCTCTTATAAAGATAGAAGTTTTTCTTTTTAGTAAGTTATTCATTTTATGTACCTCTAATTTTACTTTATGCATTTTATTCTTGTAGAAGTTGATTATTGTTTTGTTACATTTTGAGAAAAAAATTAAAGAAAAATTTTTAACCAAAAAAATTCTTAATTTCAAATGTCTGATGAAAAATATATAAACAACCAAAAATATTTATTATTCGTTATATATGAAAAGCATATTTGAACATGTAATATGTTTTTAATAAATTTATGATACAAATTTAAAATGTAATTATTATTATAAATTTATTTCTTAAGTAAGTTATTTGAATAGCAAATGTTGATTGTATAAGTTAATAATATAAATCTATTCTATTGTACTGATATGTCTAAGTAACAAAGTAAGCAAAATTTATTATTGATATGAAAAATTTTTATAATCAAACATCTTTACTACACCTGATACATTTATAGATATACATCAACCATAGCTGTTTCTAGCCCGATAATATTCGACTTTGGTTGATGTATAAAAATTTTTATTTTCGATGTAGCGGTATCTTAATGTAGCTTTAGAAAAAATTACTCAAACAAATGTGGAAGTTATATGCAGTAAAATTAAAGCAGATTACCGAAATTGCATCCTTTGTACAAGTTTCAATTATTGGCTGTAAAACTTTATCCAATTCAGTTAAATCAATTTCGCATTCATTTGCAAGTTTTTGCAATTTTTCATCTTGAGCCATTCGTATTGCTTCATCAACCTGTACCTGTAAAATATAAATTAAAATATAAATATAAGCTTTATAACATTTTACTTACTATTCATTAATTTACTAAAAATCATTAAGATTAAAGAATGAGATAACATGTATTTTATGGAGATAAGTTTGTAAATTTTAAATGTAAGCTACCATGAAAAAATATTACGTAATGAGCCTAATGCTCGAAAACAGTAGATAAAATAAGTTTTTTTCTTGACAGCATTGTTTTTATATGTTTTGAAGAAAATATTTTTTCTTCAAAACATTTAAATTATTTTTAACAAAAACTTATATTATTCGGAATTTAACTTCTTATCATTTAATTGTATATAGAAGCTGAAATGAGTTGATAAAATAAAATGCTATAAATCTAAATATAGGATTTTAAATTTCAAAATTATATTGAAGAAGTGGTACAGTCAATTTTCTTTTTTAATTTATTTTATTGAAGAAATATGAAAACAGATTCAATTTAGATTTAAATGAAAAAAATAAAGTTTTTCTCTATTAAATATTACTTTTTAAAAATACAACTTGAAGATACTGATTTCTTTTTATAATATAAATTGTATCTAAATATCCTACATCAATTCAACTGAATGTATATTACATTTATATAAAAATTGTCTTTTCACAAGAGAACTCTTCAGTTTTTATAACTGATTATAAACAAAGTTAGATTTCTTATTTAAAAAAAGTATATATAATGAGAGTAAAAATTTTGAACAAAACTAAAACTTATTACAATGTAACATAATTCTAAAATAGGCCAAACTTTACAAATGTTTAAAATGATAATTCTCTGAAAACATTGAGCATAACAGAAGTTTTAACTCCTGATATTATTTTGTGTCAGAAGTAAGCATTTTGTTACATTTAAATATATTTTGAAACATTGTAAAGTTGTATATAAATAATGAATCTCACTTGTTGTTGCTGCAGAAGAACTTGATGCTGAGCATGCAAGTTTAGTTCACTCTGACGAATTTGTTCCTGAATATCTTGAATTTGTTGTTGTAAATGCTGTTGAGGAGGTGGCTGAGATTGTTGTTGCTGCTGTTGTTGCTGTTGCTGTTGTTGCTGCTGTTGCTGTTGTTGTTGAACTTGCTGCCATGGTGCAGACTGAATTGATTGTTGTGTTATTGCATGTTGAACAATTGCTTGTTGTTCTAATGTCCTTTGTTTCTGTTTTAAGACTAAAAAAATTTAAAAATTATAATTAAAAATTATTCAACTCACCATCGATTAGCTTCCAAAATTCAGTAAAATTACTTAATTTTAATGCATTTTCAATTATAACATTACATACTGGATGAATAGTTGGATGTACCAAGGTGGAATCCTTAAAATAAAAAGAAAAAATAAATATGCATGTGTAATTAATTATTTTANTTAAGACTAAAAAAATTTAAAAATTATAATTAAAAATAGTTAAATGTGAGTAAACTAATTTATTCTTACAAAGATTTTCTTTTAAGACAGTGATTTTTAACAGCCTAACAACCAACTTCACCTTTCTTATCCAGAAACAGATACATATGCTATTCATATGGAGTAAAGTAAAACTCCAATTATCTGGATTACCCCCCAACAATGTTAAAATGAAACAGGCAGGTATGTACAAGTACTGTATATGCATGAAAATAATTTTTTTTTCCTAAATGTAGCAAACAAACTATATTCATTTGTAAGTACATTTCCACATACACTATACCAAAAGACTTACTAATACACCTTATGAACTTGCAGTTGAGTTTATTACTTCCAAACATTTTCGGTCATGTTAAATGACCTTTCTCAAGAAAAAGAAATAAGAGAAAGCAAATTAAAAAACTGTAAAAATCAAACGCTTAGTACAAATGCACAAAAAACGAACAGGCTTTTCGAATATTTTTGAATTAGCCTATAATCCGTTGCAACTTATGACGTCATCTTTAACATTGCAACGGAAGTATAAAAATCATAAAGATTACAGAAATACCTGAAAATAATAAGTACAGAGAGTTACCACCCCTGATCACCGCACATAAATGCATAGCTTTAGATATAAGGATGCATAGTATCTGCTTCCTTATATCTAAAGCAGATTTGTAAAGCAAACCATAAAGGCCTCGCAATCAACTTTCAAGAATCGACAAAAATATCGACAGCATGGTCCTCTAGCTTAATATAGACCTTAATAATCAAAGGAAGCAGATACTATGCATCCTTATATCTAAAGCTATGCATTTATGTGCGGTGATCAGGGGTGGTAACTCTCTGTACTTATTATTTTCAGATATTTCTGTAATCTTTATGATTTTTATACTTCCGTTGCAATGTTAAAGATGACGTCATAAGTTGCAACGGATTATAGGCTAATTCAAAAATATTCGAAAAGCCTGTTCGTTTTTTGTGCATTTGTACTAAGCGTTTGATTTTTATAGTTTTTTAATTTGCTTTCTCTTATTTCTTTTTCTTGAGAAAGGTCATTTAACATGACCGAAAATGTTTGGAAGTAATAAACTCCAACTGTAAGTTCATAAGGTGTATTAGTAAGTCTTTTGGTATTAATAGTATGCAGTCTCGTACTAATTTCATACACTATACTTGGACATAACTATGTACAGTACATACATACATACATACATACATACACAGCAGGATATTTAAATAAGAAAAAAATATGACTATTTTAGTAAAAAATTCCAAATATCCAGATGACAGAGATTCCAATTACTTTAAATAATTGTAATTTTAATTGAATTACATAATGTGTCTACATACACAATTTCACAATACAGAAAGAATTTTATAATTTTAATATAAAATGTCAAAATGGCATTTTTTTATTATTATTTTAATTCTTTCATTTCTATAGGCAAAAAAAATCTTTTTACATACTCATTATGAATTTATCCAGGTCTATAACAAGTGTAGCTAAATAGTGGGAGAAAGGTCCAAATATCCAAGCCAACCACCCACATTTTCTGAGCCATCACAGACTTCAACCTGAATTTCCCAGATTAACAGGATAATGCCTTTACCAGTTAGATTATCCAATTATCATCATTATTAATTTCATTCATTGTGCATCTTCCTTATAAATTTGATAATGGGCCTTTACATCATGGTTTGTCTTATATGGATAGCACATATGGTAAACCATGTGATAAGAAATGCTTACATAAAAATATAGCATTGTTATTGCAAAAATCCTAAATACTCCACAAATTTCTAAAACATTCCTTACTACACCTGTTAAGAATCACTGTTTTAAAATAATAAAGCAATTTCTCTAACATTATAGCACTCTAAAACTATTAATATTAATAAAATATTTTAAATAGAATTTTGGGCAGATACCCCATTTTGTATATTTATCTTAATTTAAAAATTTTTATTATGGTAGATTCTAAATAAAATATAATACAGAGTTGCTTTCTTTGCAAAACATATTTCTTTATCATACTGTCAATGTAATTAAATTTTTCAAAAAATTAATAATTATAAAGTAATTTCAATAATTAGCTACCATTATTTAATGATAGCATTTAAACAAAAATTCATTTAAAGCATTTGTTCAATTAAGTATATTATTAAAGAATAATTTTTGACAAAAATAATATTTAAAATATTTTATCATGAAGATAAATACAATGAATATTTAATTTAATAATTATAGAAAAATAATTTAGATTTTAGATCAAAAAATTATTTTCTTGATCTAAAATTATTATTTTTATATTTTAACAAATGTGTTTTAACTTATGCTATTCAAGTATGAGATAAATCTTTTTCCAACCTAATTACTAAAAATAAAGACTACTACTATTATTGTACTATTTACTATGTCAGTCAAGATATTTTATGAATATCTTCACATTCAGAGAAATGAATTAATTTTCACAGAAAAATAAAGAGCTAGTGCTTCTAAGTGAGAATGATAGTTTCCTAATTTTAAAGAATTTTGTTACAATTACAGAATTAACTTGAAGGTGGTATATAAAATGTTTTTACAATAATAAAACTATTAGAATAACAAACTGACAACCCCAAAAATGATCAATCAAATAGAAATAAAATTTAATGTTATCATCTAAATGGATCAATCCTTCCATTTTTAATAATATTAAATTATCAGTAAGTTTACATATTAATATATTCCATAATAAAGTACTCAGTTGTAAGTTTATAAGTAATTAAATGTTATAAATTTAAGTGAAATCACCTTTTCATAATAAATTAACATTAGTAAAACATTTGTTATGTATATTATTTACATAACTTACATTAAAACAAACTCATCTTACAAAGACACAACAATTACCAATCAGAATAATTCATTTTTCATAATGTATATCAATAAAATTCATTCAATTCTCTTTAATTTCTCAAATAAGATAACTTTATTTATGTTATAACTAATATAAAGGGACAAAGCTACAAATATATTAAAAGCTTAAAACAAACACAAGTCACAGAAAAATAGATGCTTGATACAATGCCAGAAAATTTAAAAGTAATACCAGTAACATCACTTACAACATTAAATACATGTTTCAAATAGATTTGGTTAATACAACACAAGATATATATTTTATTTTAAAATTTATAAATTTAAATTTTTAAAAACCCAATGAATTTTTAAGTAAATAAATTAAAAATAAATATATTTTCAAAATAATCATATCTGTATCTTTATATATAGATTTGTATATAAAGAAACAAATTTACTAATATTTTAATGTCATCAGAAACCTTTTTATTATTCAAATTTACTTGAATAATAAAATTTACTTTAAATTCATATTAATTTTAGATTTTCCTAATAAAACTAACTGAACTTTCATTTGTTTATTATAATGTAAAAGGATTTAATGTACACAAATACTATCTATGTTAACTACTTGTAAATAAGTTTGAAAATACCTATTTACAAACATATTAAGATATAAGAATATATTGGTGATTTGCTTTTTGTCCTCATATTACAATATGAATCTATAAGCACTAAGTTTTTGGCTCTATGGAGGACTTATCACACACTATTGACATTATAAAAGTATTCACACAGAAGTGGGTAGACCAGATTTATTATGATGACACCATGCATTTTGGACAGGCTGTCTGTCCCTCTTCAGCCATATTTGTTACATTTGATGAGTTTACAGGAGTCTACAAAAATACATGCAGTTTTTTGTTACAAACATTTAGATTTATGATTAAAATATAAATGCAAATTATATGAACATTTAGAAATTTTCAAAATTCACGATAACATAAAAATAAATGAAAACACAGGTGTACAACTAGATCCCATCTGGCACCCTAACTTAAACATCTGAAACCTATTAGACAGCAGATAATACTTATACGACCAAAACTGGATACCACCCTACAGTAGCATTGCTTCTGTGATAGAAAACATTGTTTGTACGAGCTGACTGACTGCAAAAACATGTAACCATTCTTAAAACTGCTCTTACTTCTGTAACTGTAATCTTGTTCATAACTTTGTATTATGTTTGTTTCCATAGTTTATTTACTTCACAATTAATTTCATCAAGCAACAATTATAATCTCTAGTTGCTATTTGCACAGAAAACATAATGTGTGTGTGAAAAATCCCAAAAATGAAGTCATCCATGCATTACCAACAAAATAGAATTTACCATTTATGTATGTATAAAAAATGTCATTTTGAACTATTTTAATCGTAAATCCATACGTTTGTAACAAAAAGCTGCGCATATTTTTGTAGACTCCTATAAACCCATCAAATTTGACAGATATGGCTGAAGAGGAACAGACAGCCTGTCTGAAATGCATACTGTTGTCACAATAAATCTGTATATACCCACTTCTTTGTTACTCCAACAATGTCAATAGTGTTTGATAAGTACTCCATAGAGCCAAAAATTTGGTGCTCATAGATTCATATATAAGAATATAGTCTTGAAAGCTTATAGATGATGATTAGTCATTAAATATCTAATTATTTTGTAATTATCTTGAAAATTTTGACTTGTAACTAACAGTTGCAAATTTACCAATGTTCATATTACTGTGAAACAGCAAACTTTTAGAATGTTATCAATTTACCAGTAATTTTTGAATTTTGACTCTAAATACAAAAATTAGCACACTAGTAATTATTTAGTTGCCAACTAATCCATGAGTTGAAAACTAAGCAATTACTAATATGCTAGATCCA